TTCTTGGGCCCTTTCCAACACCTACAATGTAAGAGACACTCTGGGGGTAGGTCCCAGTAATCTGTTTTAACAAGCCCTCTAAGAGCTCTGATGTATACTTAAGCTTTAGAACCACATTTGGAGAGTGAGTGATGAAAATTTTTAATTGAAAGATCAGTCTGTCATCCCCATAATTCATTGATTGATCTTAGTGCTCCTAGAAGTAGGAGAACCAGATCTTATATTCCTCCTAGTAGATCCACCTGTGACATATTCTTGCCACCCTCCAAAAAAATGTAAACAATCTCTTCTATTCTTTATACTTGAATTCCAATTTACAGGAAATACAGGAGCTAGAAGAATAACTCAAAACAAAATTATGAGGAAGCCAAGGACAAATCTAGAATGTAGGACATACAATCCAGTTTCTTTAAGTCAGTGCCATGGGGAGAGGAGGGGAAGGGAGAGGAACTGTTCCAGAATGAAAGGACTCCAAAGACAAAATAAGTAATTGCAAAATGTACATCTTGTTTGGACCCTGATTCAAATAGCCAACTGGGAAAATCTGAATTCAGACTGTGTGTTAGATAATACTAAGGAATTGTTGATTTTGTTAGATGTGATAATGGCATTGTATTTATATAAGAAAGGGGTGTGTTTTTTTTTAGGGATACAAAAGTAGAGTGAAACCAAATTATGTCAATATTTGCTTTAGGTTACTACAGCAAAAAAAAAAAAAAAAGGAATTTAATGGGAAAAAGGATAAATGAAGCAAGTATAGCAAAATTTAGAGAACTCTTGAATCTTAGGGATTCATTATACTAATTTTTCTACTTTCATGCATATTAGAGACTTTCATAATAAAAAGAAAATTTTAAATGATTTTTAAAAATAATACATTTATTAGTACATATTTATTTCTGTTCTAGCCTTTATCACAGCATATTGTAATTGCCTGTATATTTGTCTATCCCAATATTTCTCAAACTATCAGTATTGAAAGACCAATTTGTTAATTGTCCAATGTGTCACAGACCATGACTTTCGTAATATTCAATAAAAACCAATTAACATAAAAACAAAATGGGGGGGAAGACATACAAAATAAAACCTTAAAAAGTTTTATTATTAAAGTCAACAAACAAAATTACATTTCACTTAACAATCAGTACAAATGCAAACATAAGAATAAGCCAATTTTTTAAAAATACATATTTTTATTTATTTCATAGAGGAAGGGAGGAGAGAGACAGAAACATCAATGATGAGAGAAAATCATTGATTGGCTGCCTCCTGCACGCCCCCTAATGGTGATGGAGTCTGCAACCTAGGCATGTGCCCTTGACTGGAATCGAACCAGGGGCCCTTCAGTCCACAGGCCGGCGCTCTATCCACCGAACCAAACCAGTTAGGGTAGGAAAAAAACAATTATTTGAAAACCGTATCCATTTATCAAAAATACACACATAGGCCATGAGTGTAGACGAGTTGTCACATACAAGTGTGTGTGCTCTTTGCATGGTAACTTGATGTCGTGGTTTATTAACTGGAGATTGGATTGATAACAGTGCCCTTCACTGAGGATGGTGGATGCCTAAACTGGTTTTACTGGCAGCCACAGGTTTTTGCCTCAGTTACTTCTACTGATTTCTCAGCAGATGTATATAGTTTTGAAGGCTGCCTACACTGCAGAAATCATAAAGAATGGGGAAGATAATAGATATGCTTGCTGTAATACTCGCTGAGATTTTTGCTTAAGGGGTGAAAATACCACTTCTTTAAATCTCTGGAATGCAGATGTTGTCATTTTTCTCACACTGTGTGTTATACATTTATTGACATGTGAGGACTGTGACTCTACATGATAACTTTAGGCTCAGATGTACCGTGCCTTAGTTTTTCCGATAGTACCCTTCTTGCCAAGTATTAAAGCTTTTTCCCCCCTTGGCTGTGGTGGTGCCAGTTTTTTACTGACTGCTTCAAAAAATCATATTGCTGTAGATTCCGTTGTGCTTCCCAGGACTCATTTTGTAGGCAACTGTTTGGGTTCTTTTTCCGTACATATTAATCCATACATGTTCACATTGGATCTGTTAGGTTTCTCTATATTGCCAAAATTTCAAAAGTATTTTCCAAGGATGCACATTAACTCAACATTTTCAACAGGAAGAAATTTTGTCTGTCATTTATTTGTCTATGAAATAGCTGCCTCACTGTAATAGGATTTGGTGTGGAATCATAGGGAATATATTACTAACCAGCCAAAAGAGATTCCCTCACAGAAAGCGTTGCATTCCCTCATTAAGTTTGGCCTACAGGTCCAACCCTTCATTATGGATTCCCCAACTCATCCAGTATAGAAGGAGGCTCAGGTATACTCAGGAATAGAAAGCACGGGGTCTACTTGCCAGTGTACTTAGACATACAGTTTGGACATTTTGACTGAAAATCCTGCATATTTGTTCTTAAGTGGCCCTTTTGCCTTTCAGAATTATGGATGGCTACTATGTGGGCTCTGTAAAGGCAAAGGGAAGATGTGATGAGCTGATGATCTCAGCTTGTGATAATAGCTGATATAGAAGGAAAAACAAAATGTCCAGCTAAATTTAAAGCCTATAACTTGTAGAGTATAACACTAATACTCCATATTTTGTAATACTATTGATGGAAAGTTTCATGATAGCATCCAGGATAAGACCTTAAGCAATTAAGTATTTAAATACTATACCTACGATGTTTTGTGCACAGTGTTAAGCATTGTGGGAAGTACAAAGAAGAATGATATTGTCCCTACCCTCGGGAAGCTTTAATGAAGGTATTTTTTTATTTTCTGAAACACTGTATTGGAACTGGGGCTGTGTGTGTATCCAGGCATGAACACACATTGGGATAGCTATGATATATATGCAGATAAAGTGTGAGACAGTGTGTTATAAGTGATGAGGAGTTCAAAGAAGAGAGATTTGAAGTGATTTATTTCTATTTGAAGTGGTAAGGGACTGTTTAATATCAAAGTGGCATTTGAGTAGGGTTTGAAAGGATAGTTATGATTTTAACAGGAATCTAGTAAAGAAGCAGCTTGATAGAGTTAAAAAAAAAATTCAAAAGTTTCTAGTTCCAACAGCCTAAGTGCCCATCAGTAGATGAATGGATTAGAAAACTGTGGTACATTTACACGGTGGAATACTATGCTGCTGTAAAAAGGAAGAAACTCCTACCATTTGCAACGGCATGGATGGAACTGGAGAGCATTATGCTAAGTGAAATAAGCCAGTCAATGAAGGAAAAACACCACATGATCTCACTCATTCATGGATAATAGAGACCATTAAAACTTTTGAACAATAATATATACAGAGGCAGAGCTGCCTCAAACAGATTGTCAAACTGCAGCGGGAAGGCCGGGGAGGGTTGGGGGGCAGGAGGGAGGGGGGTAAGAGATCAACCAAAGGACTTGTATGCGTGCATATAAGCATAACCAATGGACATAAGACACTGGGGGTTAGAGGAGGCCAGGGGATTGTCAAGGGTGGGGGGGAAAAAAGAACACATATGTAATACCCTTTGTAATACTTTAAGCAATAAAAAGAAAGAAAGAAAGAAAGAAAGAAAGAAAGAAAGAAAGAAAGAAAGAAAGAAAGAAAGAAAACTCATTAATGACACATAAAAAAAAAAAAGTTTCTAGTTCCAGATCAGCCATCCACCTAATAAATATATGAATTTAGCCAAGTTACGTAATTCCTTTGATCTTCAGCTTCCTCAAATATAATAGAAATTAGAGTAATAGTTATCATAGAGGGATGTTAGGAAGATTGAGATACTGTGATGTGAACATGCTTTATAAACTGTAAAGGGCTGTACAAATGTTAGTAAATTTTATAGTAAATATGATATGAGCCAAAGGCATGGAATTTGCAAACAGTAAACCACATTGTCGAGAGCAGAAAATGCGTGAAGGTGCTGTGACTATTGATTCACCGGTACAGTTCCTTACTTGGGGGAAATAATTAAATAGAAAAGCCTGTCATGGTTTATGTTACCCTCTTTCCCTCAAAAGATCATTTCAGAGGCCTTTAAGATCTTCAGGTAAAACTTGTATGAGTTGCATATTTATTTTAGTTTTATTAAATTTATATAAATATATGCAGAATTAGTTTTCAGGTAAACTGCTTTAATAGAGATTATAACATTGCACAGAAGGCTAATGTATCTTATAAAGCATATTTTTTAGAGAACAGTGTCTCTCATAAGAGTGCTTGGTTTCAAGAACAAGTCTGCATGTTCTTGGATAGATCTGAATTGCTCGATTGAACAACAGGGTGTGAATTATTGAAGCTACTTCCAAGGACCACTGTATCTCATGTTACAGGTGGTTTCTATAATAACTATATAAAATGATTTTTTAAAAGAAAGATAACCTTGCCCAGCCAGTGTTGCTCAGTGGTTGAGCTTCAACCCAGGAACTGATTGGATTCCAGGTCACAGCACATGCCCAGGTTGTGGGCTCAATCCCCAGTAGAAGGCATGCAGGAGGCAGCTGATTGATGATGTTTCTCTATCATCAATGTTTCTATCTATCCTTCTCCCTTCTCTCAAAAAATCAATGAAAACATTTTTTTAAAACAATGAAAGATAACCTTGATTGATTGGATGTCAGAGAATTGATTCATGTTCTTCATTTTACATAAATGTTATTTTTTAATGTGATTAGAAATATTCAGTACTCAGTAAATTTTTAAGGAAAAGAACAGAGGGAGTGCTTGGGCATAAAGGTTACTTTAAGTTGCACTGTGAATATTATGCCACTAGCTATTGTCTCATCTTGGACTCTTCATTTTTCTGGATTCTAGTGAAATAAAATTGGAATTGCTTTCTCAAGGCAAGAAACTTGGAAAACAGCATAGTATTTGAACATGAACCTTTAGTCATTATAAAAACTTTTCAAGGGGAAAAAATCCCAAATCTGAACGTTTGGGTCATTTTATTTTGGTGAATATTTTAAATTCTCTCTTCTTTTACAGACTATCTTGCTAATCACGGCCGGTTAAATGAGTCTGAGGCCAGGCGCAAATTCTGGCAAATCCTGTCTGCTGTTGATTATTGTCACGATCGGAAGATTGTGCACCGTGACCTCAAGGCTGAAAATCTCCTGCTGGATAACAACATGAATATCAAAATAGCAGGTAACTGGGGCACAGCTGGCTCTAATGTGATCAACTGTGAGTCCTTGTGCTGGGTGTTTGCAGAAAAAGAACTGCAGGCAGAGATTTGGAGCATTTCTACTGATGACATCAAGCTTTCTCAAAAAACAAGTGTATTCTATTCTTTTCCTTAGAAATATATGCAATGAAAAGAAAGGGAAATCGGTTTGTTATTAATGTGCACAGTGGCAGGGCTATAGCTGGTGTCTCATTTGTATCTTCGATCTGATTTGTGTCCAGGTCTGTTTGTGGGGCCCTGCCAGAGGAGAGAGATGCTAGGTCTGCAGCAGCAGTGCAGGTTGCTGGGGCGGGTGGCTACAGTGAGGTTACAGACGGGGAAAATGAAAAGGGAGGGATGTAGATTGATACAGGAGGAGCAGGTAGGCCAAGACCAGAATGTGAAGGGTCTTGAGTGCCATGAAAAAGATTTTAGAGTTTATTCTGTAGGTCATAGGGGGTCTAACCTATTGAACATTTTAGGGTGGGGATAGGGGTGAAGTGGGATTGGGATGACAGATTTGCATGTTAGAATGATGTCTCTCTCTGGCACCAGAGTAAAGACAGGTGGGACATGTGAATAAGACTGAAGACAGGAAGATAATAAGGACTCTAATGCAGTAGTCCAATCACGAAAATGTGGGCCTGACAATAGTGTGGTGAAGGGGATAAGGGGGGGGGGGGGGGGGCGGGGGTATCTGTAATACTTTCAACAATAAAGATAAATTTTAAAAAAGAGAATGAATGAAAATGTGGGTCTGAACCAGATTGTAGGATGAGATGGAGGGAGGGAGATTTATTTTGGATAGGGTTTTAACAACATTGCAAATGCTGGTGTTTTGTTATAGGGTTATGAAAGAGGAACAAAGGCAGATGAGAGGCGCTGACCAAGAAATTCTTGGTTGACCAGCGAGGTTAGATATTCACTGGAGAAGGTTTAGGGAGAAAACAGCTCCTTGAGGTATAAAATAGAACCTCTATTAAAAACCTCTGATTGATTCATTTAACTGGTTATGTTTATGCCAGGTCCCATTAGTTTTTGTCTGAGCATTTTGAGGAAGGTACATAATTTTTATTTACTTTAACTTTATTTATTGTTACTTTAATTTTAATAATTAATTTTAAATGCCAGTGTTACATATGTTACAAGGAGGTAATGAATGGATTTTCCATTCTGTAGTCTGTGATTTTTTTTAAATAATGGGAATACTTGAATAAGACAAAGTGTTTGATAAGCTAAAGTTAATTTGCTATAGTCCCACTTTATATATATAAAGAATTATATATTTGTCATTTTTGTTTTGAAAATGCAATCCACTATATTAGTGTCTCCATAGTTTCTTATGTGTGTTCACTTCTCCCATTTGTGTTTTTCCCTTCTTCTGGCCCTTCCATTTGCTCTTTCATTTCACTCCTTTTTGCTGTAATGCACATCCCTGGAATTTTTGTTTACTTCTATTTGAAAAAATCTGCTGCCCTCAAATTGCCCTCTTCAGAGTTGGCTCTTGTTTTTTGAAGTCCTTACCTCTGTAGAAAGGAGGGGGAAACCCCTGCTTCACCTTTGCATTCACTTATCACCAAAACAACAAAAAATCACAAGACAATACCTCAGAGGAGCTTTGGGAGTGTTTTCAAGCAGAGAAAGGTTAGAGTGTGAGTCATATGCTCTAGGAATTACAAAGTGCTCTGTAGAGAACTTCTCAAAAGAAAATGTTCAAGTAGAACCAAAGAAACTTGGAAACAAACATACTCACCTCTACCTGGCTATCATCTATCTATATGATCTAGGAATATTGGTAGGTAAACTCAGTATTTCTAACGTCATTATGAGATATCTAGTTTTTTGTTTGTTTTTGTTGCTTTATTTTTTTTTAATATCTAAACTTAAAGGTCTTCTAATTTTTATCTAGAAGATCAGTAAAATGTCCAAGACCTAAAGTGTTCTCTCTGGTTAAACTAGTAAAATGGCTAACCTATTGAACCTTCACTATTTTCAGGTATTATGCTAGGTACTTTATCATTGAATCTTCACAGCAACCCTAGAAGCTGCATAGCTCTTGCCAGTTTTTAGGTGAGAAAGATGAAATACAAAAAGATTAAATAACTTGTCAAGGTGACTCAGATAATAAATAGCACACCTGGAATTCAAACCTAGGTCTCTCTGACCACAGTGTGTTATTTCTTCCACTGCACCATGTTGTTTCCAAGCATTGCCAGTTATCCCTCAAGGGGTACTCACTAACTGAATTTTGAATTCCATCATTCTGTATGTATACATTTGGTGTCCTTGATTCCATGTCTCATAAGTATACACACACACTGTATCTAAGCACTCAAATATCTTCTTGCTCACATTTTTTTGTCATCTTCACTACCACTTACCACAAATTTTAGTAAATGTTTATTAAGCATCTACTGTGCTCCTGAGCTAAGTCCTATAGATGCAAATATTTCAAGACAAAATGGCAGCAATGCAATAAAACTCAACTCTGCTCTTACCTTGAGTTAATCCAGAACTAGACCTTTAAGTCAATATAACACAGAGAGAAAATTATTGTAAAGGCTAGGAGAAAGACTGACTCTGCCTTGAAGAGAGTATTAGCTAAGACTTGCTTAAGAAGAAGACATCTGTGGTGGGACAGTGAGAGTGTGTTGAAGGGGTGAGGTACGGATGCAGCTCCAAGCAGATGGATTAGCATGTGCAAAGGCAGGCAGGCCAGAAAACTCAAAGTTTGTAGGGAAACTACAGAGCAGATCTAGTGGGACATAGGTGCCCATGAGGAATGATAGGTAAGGAGCCTGGACAAGTAGGCAGAGCCAGATCAAGAGGGATTCCACATGACATCAAAGCTTAGATGTGCTCCAGTGCTGTGAAAGGACTTCTCCAGGATATTTATGTTTATCCATAGATTTTATAACTTTATGGCTCTGCTTTCTTTAAAAATATCTGCTGATTTCAGAAGATTCTTCTTAAATTTTAAATAAATCTAACACAAGTAGGAAAGATGGGGCTCCATGAAAAAATTGCAAGAACCCAGAATAAAATATGAAATTATTCTCTCAGTCTCTGTTTATTCTACCTATGAAGATCTCTTTAATTGCTAAATGGGTTGAATAAATGAACTGTTTTAGCCATCTTATATGTTGAAATTGAAGAGAATTGCAAACCAAAACTAGATTAAACTATCCTGTATTTGTCTCTGTTTGTAAAACAGAAACCGACAGTTCATTTCAATAAGTACAGAAACATGGTTTTGAAATCAGCATCTACTTTATGCTCCAGTGGTCAAAGACACCAGACACTGATGAGCCATGGGTTCATCCACACCTGTGTATGCTCGGTGCCTCAATTATGAGACCTCCAGCCTTCGCAAAATATGAGTGTTAGGACATTCAGAGTAAGAAGCAAAATGCGAAGAAATATTGGCTTTCATTAGTATTAGTAATTGGAGCACTCTTTTCTCCTAGCAATTTTTGCTATGATTATTTAAGCATAAAGTTGAAAATAAGTAGATGAACGATATTTAGTTTTATTCTTTAACTTTCCTAGTCTGAAATGTTAGCAATAAATAGTTAGATAAAGATAAAAATGTATGAATTACCTGAAGGAAGTTTTCACAAATATCATAGTTTAAACAAGGCTTCACATAAAGAATGTGGAGTTGGTATCAGGCAGTTCAGATGCAAATTCTGGCTTTGTGACCTTGGGCTGATTATTTAACCACTTGGAGTCTAACCACTTGGAAACATTTAACCATGTTTCCATATCTGTTAGGCAGAGATTACTCTGTTCCTTGGGAACATTGTAGGGATTAGGGATAATGTTAGAGACAGTGTGGGTAGTAGATAATAATAGGGGAGCCAGAGCCAGGCTGCCTGGGTTTGAATCCTGGCTCTGCCACTTACCAGCTGCATGACCTTGAACACATTACCTAACTTCTCTGTCCTCAGTTTTCTTAACTGTAAAGAGGGAATGATAGAAGTTCGTATCTCCTAGTGGTTACTGGTTAATATTTGTAAAATGCTTAGAACAGTACCTGGTACATAGTACTATTTTAGTGTTTGTTAAATAGTGTTCGTTAAATAAATTGTTGCTGACACCCTGTAACACTCAATTAAAGGGAGCTGGTATTTGTATTTAATGTGTAATTGATTCCATATGAAAACAAATCCTGAAATTTTTTATAGCTATATAAACCCCCACACTATATGTGGGTGTTTTTTTTATTACCAAGTCCTTACAGCCTTATTAAATACAAATCCTCAGAGGAATAAAGAAAGTTTACCATTTATATTCTAAATTATCTCTGCTTGATGCAAATTAATTTTTTTTTCCCGAGGGACCTTCAGTATAATTAGTAATGTGTAATGAGACTCGTTAATCTGACCTGTGCATCATAAGTCCCTTGACTTTAGCCGAAGGCCAGTGCTTCCTTTAGGAGTTGACCCAGGGTTTCTGAGTGGCCACTCTCTCCCATTATTGCTTCTAACAATCTTCCTGCTTGCTAGAAGACCTTGAGACAAGGTTTTTGTATATAAAATTCCAGTTTTGTGCCCTGGAACCAAAAAAGAGTGGGGGAGCCTGAGGCATATTTCATTGGTAAAATATTTATTAGAAGTCTTCATTTATTATTCTCCTGCCACTAGCATTAGGTCAAATGTAAAACAGCTTTGCCTCAGCAAGCCCAATGAGACCTTATCTTTATCCTTCAAGCCTACTTAGCCCTAGCAGCACATTAAGCCTGGAATATGGAAGAGAGCTCGCAGGGTTTGTTTCATATTGCTTTGTTTCCCACCTCCACCTCCCCACTCCATTTTGGACTAAAGGAATTGAGTTGCTTCTTATTTCACTGAACTCTCTCATTGGACAAATAGCTGCCTTGCTCTGGTCAGCAAGATGGCATTCCATCTCAGCTGTGCTGATTGTATTTGTGCCCTTCGGTCAGGCAGGGAGGGAGTGCCTGATGTTTGGAAGTCAACTATGC